TCCCCAGCGCGAGCAAGGCGTGCCGCGCGGTCAAGTGCTCTGCCTTGTTTTTGCTGCTGGCGAGCGGCCTCGCGAGCGCCGCCAACTCGAGCGCGAACGCATCCCCCACATCAGGTCTATCGACCAGTGAGAACATCGCGCGCACTCTGTCAAAGGATGCGATCGAGCGATCCTGTACGATCTCTTCGAGCGCCTGCTTTGCCTCGAGGTTTCGCGTGTTCCCGAGCGCGATAAACACGCCCATGGTCGCACGAGATGGGATCTCGTCCTTGACCAGCTTGCCCGCGATAACGGGCACCATATCTGGCCTCGCTTCGAGGTAGAGTCGCATCTCTGGCCAGGTGTCCTGAATGCCGACATCCTCCGCGTCAATGCGCGTGAGCATCCTGTCGAGCATCTCATCGAGCGGCTCTCCTCGCAGCGCGTCACGCGCGCGAAGCTCCTTGCCCAAAATCGCCCCGCCCTCGTCCAACGGGATCGTCATCGGCAAGAGATCCGCCCAGACGTAGTCTCCCTGCGAGCGCGACGCGCTGCCAAAGACCTCGGCGTCTTGCTCGGGCAGAAGATCGGCGCGGAGCGTGCGCCTGGAGGTGATGCCTGTGCCGCTGTAGGTCGCATCGAGTGATACAGACGCGAACCACCCGCGCTCACCCTGCGCCACGTTGGCGACGTAACCATCGACCTCACTCAGGCTCCCCATCCCCGTGTACCAGGGCTCGAGCACCGTGACGCGTTTTTGTAACGCGCCGTTCTCCAGCCGACGAACCTCCCCCTTGATCTCACCGAGCGAATCGCGCCCCTCGTACAGCGCGCCAACGTTCGCATCGGGCAAGGCAAACGAGAGGTCATGCAAGAGCGCCTGCTGGATCCTCGCATACCCGATGGGCAACGACTCGAGGTGCGCGAACCCTCCGATGCTGCAATCAGGGCTGACCCTGAACAGGAACGGTTCAGCGAGCATCGCGTCCTTTCGCACCGCCGTGGTGCGAAAACGCGAGAGCTTGCCGAGCATCAACGAGCCCTCCGGCGAGCTCTCCAGGACCTCGGTGTTCAGCGTCCCGGAGTAGGAACTCTGAACCTCGGTCGGTTGCCCCTTGCCGCCAAAACCGAACCCGAGCGGCTCGATCTCGGCCTCGTCCTTGCCATCGATGGCATAAGACGCGCGGTCACCGACCTCGAAAGCGCAGGACTCTCGAACGATGCCACTTTTGACATCATCGCCTGGCGCTTCGACATCATCTGCCTCTGGCGCCGTCCTCGCGACCCCCGGTCGCATCCTGGCGTCGCGTTCATATGTGGATTGCGCGGGTTCTTCTATGCGTGGTTGCTCCTCTCCCTTCGAGGACGAGAGGATAACACCCGCAGCGAGTATAGCCCCGGAGCCGAGCAGAAGCGCCGCGCCCTTTTGTGCGGTAATACCTTTCATCAGTAATCCTCCAGAACAGGGAGTTCCAATTTGTAGAGGTCGACTTCGAAGACCTTGATTCCATCGAATTCGTGGATGAGCCACTCGAGCGTGAGCTCGGCGAACAACAACGTGACCTTGAGCGCGGCCTTCACATCACCGCTAAACAGCGAGAGCGTGAAGGGGATGCTGAACTCGAGGACGCCGTTTCGCGCGAACGCGTCGCCATCTCGGAACAACCAACGGAAGGTCTGCCCCACGGTCGGTTTGACCTCGGCGGCGATGATGTTCAAGCTCGCGCTCAGGCAGAACCCGACAAAGGGAGAAGGCGTGCAGCCCTCGAGCCCCACACCAGCACCGAGCGCCAGCGCGAGCCCTGTCGCCCAGGAGAAGTAAACCTCGTCATCAGCATACGGGAGCCTGCATACGTAAGGATGCGCGCCCGCGTTGTTCCCTTCGACCACAGAGACGCCAAGGTTCTTGTCGCGCGCGTTGTAGAACACCGCCGCGCCCGTCTCGCCATGAGTCGGCAGGCCGCGTTGGTTGTCGATGATGATATCGCTCGAGTAACGCACGGTGCCGGTAGCGTCGGACGCGAACGGCGCGCTGTCCGAGAGCCAGCGATACTCGGTGACTCTGCTATCCTTCTCGTAGGCGAGCTGTGCGCCGATCCAGGCGGTGTCGATCCCTTCAGCGAGCATCTCGTCGGCAAGTCCTCCCGCCTCGTTCATCTCGCGCAGCTCGACCAGTCGTCCGCCTGCATCACTGCACGCGTCCGCGGCATCTGCGAACGAGGTATTGGTCGTCTCGACGATGTAGCAATCCTCGCTCTCGCCGAGGCACTCGTAGGCGTCATCATCCTCTGGCGCGACGGCGACCTCGATCGAGAGCCCCACGGAGGCGCCGACGGTGAACTTGAAGGTCACGAACACGGGCACAGGTCCGATGTTGAACATCAGGTTGTAGCCGATCGAATAACCCAACCCATCGCGCTCGCCGATCCTGCCCTCGTCCCACTCGGTGTTCGGGCTCGGGTCTCCGCCATTGAGAAGCTCTGCGATGTTGTCCCAATCGGGGCTGATGTTAAACGTGAGCTTGCGCGAGCTGCCGACATCATCGGTGCTGCCAAAGGCACCACCCAGCGAGCTCATATCGAGCGCCATGAAGTCCGCGAGCTGCCCTCTGAACTTGAGCGCCACGGTGTCATACATCTGGTCTGCTTCTTTCGGCTCGCGCTCGAGCGTCGTCGTCATATCGAGCGCCGGGCGCCCGCCCTCACCGCTCGAGCGACCGCCCGAGTTGGCGGTGTTCGAGCAGTAGACATCCGAGGAGTCATTGTTCGGGCATGTCTCCTCGAGATCCGTGTCGTTGCTGCCGGACATGCTCGTATCACCGGAGTCCTGCTGGTCCGCGAAGTCGGTGTGAATCCTTGCCGAAGCAGGGACATCCGCAGAGACGCGCTCGGCGCCCTCGATCGGCGTCCTGAAGCGATCGACATAGACCACCACGGGGACCTTGGCGGTGCGACATCCTCGGTACTTGAACGGGGTCGCATACGGGTTATGCATCCTGGAGTTCTCGAGCTCGAGGCTCCAGACCCTGTCGAACGGACCGGTCCAGTAATGCTCGCGCCTTGGCTGCCCCTCGTTGATCCTGCGCACGTCATGCGCCAGATCGTAGGTGTCGACGAGGTTGTAGGTGCCCTGCCCGTTGGTGTTCGGGTAGCGCTGGCTCAGGAGGCGAGTTTCGTTTCGGTAGTAGTTGTAGCCTTCGGTCCAACCTGTGGTGAACGCGTCGCGCTTGAGCAAGCGCACCATCTTTTGCTTGGCGACGGCCGGGAAGACCAGGCTCGCGCTCTGGGTGATGCCATCGTCGGCGCCCTCGATCTTGCCATTGTTCTTGCCATCGGAGAGGTCGACCTTTCCGAGGTAAAGCGGCGTGATCGCCTCGCGCTCGCTCGCGGAGAGCCCCGCCGGGACGAGGTAAACATCGGCTCGCGGCGAGTTGATGTACTTGCGGTTCTCGCCGTAGATCTGGCGCGTGCTCGGCTGCTCGAGGTTGAACACATGGCTTCGATCCATGTTGTTGACATACCAGGAGAGGTCGAACGTCAGGAGCGTGCGCCGGTTCGAGAAGACGCGAATCACGGGCTCGTTCCTGGCGACGATATCCTTGGTGCCGATCTCGGAGCGGTCCGCGTAAAGATAGGAGAAGTAGAGCTCCTGATCGCCAGGCGGGTCGTAGGTCGTGATCTTGCGCTGAGAGAAGTAAGCCGTCTGATTGTACGACTTGCTGTTGATCTCGTAGAACATCCCGACAGGATTGGGCGTGCACTCGGGCTCGGAGTCGCCGAGCTGTGACGCGGTCTGGAGCGTGAGCCCCTTGTGCCACACGCTGTGCCCATCCATATCGTAGGAGAGGTGGAGCTTCTGGACGATGCTCTCTCGATCCACGTAAAGGTATGGCAAGGAGCCCGGGCTCCCTGGGTAGAGCTGTTTGACGTGATCTTGCATCTCCTTGACAGGATCGATGTCGATGCAGTCCTGCGCGAACTTGGTCTCGATCACCTTCTGGTAGACCTTGGTGCCATCGCTCTTTGTCGTGTGAGGATCATCGGCACGCAGCGTGACCGCGAACGGCACGCAACGGAAGCGATTGGCGGTGACGAGCCCGCGGTGCACGTCCTCGATCCAGGCGGTCAACTTGACCTCTTCCGGGACCAGGCCGTTGGCAAAGGAGACCGTCAGCGGGATCTTGTAGGTCGCGTTGATCGGGAACGGCTTGGCGGGCAACTTGTTGGCGTCTAGCTGGCGCTTGATGATCGCCTCGGTGTACACATCCGTGGTCTGCGTCGTCGGCTCGATCGTGCCGAACTTGGCGTCGACGACGACCTCGACCTTGGAGTCATCGACCACGCACTGCATATCCGCGTTGCGTCGCGCTCGCCCATGGCACTCCAGCGGCACACAGGCGACCGTGCCATCGCGTTGGTCCTTTTGCAGGAGCTGCTCCCCGACGCCTCGACAGCTGATCTCGTTGCGCGTGTTGTACGTCCCCGCCGTCTCCTGCGTCACCGTGGACATGTAGATCCGGGGCTCTCCGTTGTCGTCGAGATCCCTGTCTCCGCATGTGTACTTGATCGTCGCGTCCGAGAACTTGCACCCTTCGTTGGTGCCATCGCCCGAACACGCACGGTTATCCCGACAGACGCCGATAGCGGCGCACTCGCGCAGGTTGCCGCAATACCCTCTGGCGACCCGGAGCGCGAATGCCTCGTCGAGCCCTTCGGCACAAGAGACCTCCTCGATCTTGATGCGCGCGTAGTTGGCGAGCATCCCTTCTGTCTCGCCTGACATCTCGGCCGAGGATGTGTACTCCTCGGAGTTGAGCGCGGTCCCCGACGAGGGGAATCGCCACGGGATCTCGCCGTCAGGGCAAACAATATCACTGTAGACCTTGTCCCGGCTCAGGCCCGTGGGCGCATCCGGTTCGGTCGGCTCTTCTTGAACGCAACCGGCGGCCACCATGATCAGGATCATGGCGAGACCAATCGGAAGCTTCTGTTTCACGTTTGTCTTCATTCCAATCCTCCTCATCAAGGCGCCACGCAGCGCAACACGACACATCCATCACCACCCACGCCCAGGAAGTCACTGCCAGCGCCAGCGTCGATGCTGTTGGCGCCCTGACAACGGCTGTAGTCGGCGTTCGAGGTCCCTCCCGGAACCCAGTTGAAGGTGTTGGGGTCTTCGATCGAGTCATACGGCGTGAGCCCTGCGGGGAGCGTCCCGTAGGCGCCGGGGTTTTCACCCGCGCCGCCCGGATCACCTGCGCCACCGCCGCCCTGGTTGCCGCTCCCGACCGCACCTGCGTAGCCGGCCGTGGTTGTGCCTGCGGTCGTCATCACGCTCATGCTCATCCCATCGGCAAACTCGGAGGCGCCAGCGCCAGCAGGGACAACAAACGACTGCGTCGCGCTGCCAGTGATTTGAACGCTCGTCAAACCGCCGCCGCCACCTGGATCAGACCCCATCGAGTTGAAGCCACCTTCGCCACCGTTGGCGGCAGTGCCCAGGTAGGAACCTGCCCCCTGCGTGGTAAACCCGGAGCTTCCACCCTGACCGAGCCAGACCGTGACGACATCTCCAGGAGCGACCGTCAGCGTGCCCTCGACATAGCCGCCCGCGCCGCCGAGGTTGCTCGCGAAGCCCATAAAGTCATCGCCGCCACCAGCAGCACCCCACGCCTGGACGTAGAGGCTCGTACAGCCAGCCGGGATCGTGTAGGTCCCCGAAGCGGTCGTGCCATCGGTGACAGGTTGGTCGATAAAGTACTGACCTGCGCCGCACGTGCCCGAAGCGTTCGAGCAGTTACCGGAGTTCGCGCCGCACACGCAGTCATTGCCCGCGCAATCCGAATCGAGCGTGCAGCTCTGCCCGGCCATGCACGCACCACATGTCATGCCTCCGCAATCGACGTCGGTCTCGTCCTGGTTCTTCGTGCCATCGCCGCAGAGGTTCATGGAGCATGTCCCGTTGTCACAGGCCGCGCCCATGGCGCAATCAGCGGACTGATTGCAAGACTGCCCGATCATGCACTTCGTCGCGCACGAGCCGCCGCAGTCGACATCACCCTCGGAGGGGTCCTTCACGTTGTTGGAGCAAGAGGCGTCCTTGCAGGTGCCATTGTCACAGGTCAAACCCGCCTGACAGTCCGCGTCTCCGCCGCACATCTTGTCCTCACCGCACTTGTTCACGCAGACCGCGCCGCAGTCGACGTCCGCTTCGCCAGGATCTTGCGTGCCGTTGTTGCAGTCAGGGCTCGCGCACTGGCTGTTCACGCACAGGTTGCCCATGACGCAATCGCCATCCATCGTGCAGCTCTGCCCACCGACGCATCGGTCGCAGCTCGAGCTGCCGCCGCAGTCGATATCCGACTCGTCCGCATCCTTCATGTTGTTGCCACAAGATGCTGGAACGCAGACATTGCCCGAGCAAACCGCCCCGGAGGTGCAATCCGCGGTCTCATTGCAGCTCTTGCCAAGCTGGCACGCGAAGGCGCAGGAGGTCCCGCAATCGACGTCGACCTCATCTGGGTCCTTCATATTGTTGCCGCAGGTCTCGGGGTAGCACCCGTTGTTCACGCAGAAGAGACCTGTGCCGCAGTCAGACGTGTTCAGACAGAACTGAGCGCGCGCACAACGGGGGCACGAGCTCGTGCCACCACAGTCGACATCGGTCTCACCAGCGTCCTTGGTGTCATTGCCACAGGTCGCGGGAAGGCAGGTGTTGTCGATGCAGGTCGACGAGGCGCAGTCGGTGCCCGCGGTGCACGCCTTGCCATCTCCGCAAGCGCCGCACACCGAGCTACCGCCGCAGTCGACGTCGGACTCGTTCATATCCTTGGTGTTGTTGTTGCAGACCTCGATCTTGCAGGTCGAGCCGACGCATGCGTAGCCCGAGGCCGTGTCGCAATCACTGCTGGCCTGGCAGGACTCTCCAGCATCGCACCTCGCGGTGCACGAAGATCCACCGCAATCGACGTCGGTCTCGTCCTGGTTTTTGGTCATATCCGAGCACGTCCCCGACTCGCGGCAGACGTATCCAGTGCAGGTCAACCCGCTCGCGCAATCCGAGGTTGTCAGGCAGGTGTTATTCGCCCTGCAGCCACCGCAGGTCCCCCCGCAATCGTGCCCGGTTTCGTCCTGGTTTTGGCGATTGTCTGAACAGGTCGCCACGCCATTGCGATAGTCCGCCTTACTCACACTGAAGAAGACCTCCTTCAGGTCAGGCCTGGCGACAAACAGATACCCTGCGTCGGTGAACTCGTTGTCTCGGAAACGATAGCGTCCGATATCGAGCTCTGCGCGAATCGGTTTGGTTTCGCCCAGTGTGTAGCCGACCTTGTAGTCCGTCCTCTTCGGGTTTTGAATCACCCTGATCGCCCAGTAGTTCTGGTAAACCCCCAGATCTGTGTGCTGCTTTTTGATATCGATGAGCTGGATCGGGCCACCATCGACGCTGAGCGCCATCTTGATCGGATCGCCTTCGAGTTTTTGTTTGTTTTCCTCGAGGTGCAAGGAGTTCAGATAGAAGTTCAGCTTGACGATCATCCGGTTTTCGTTTGGCTCCGGGCAATCGATCTTGAGCGTTCCATCCGCGCGCATCGGCGATTCGGCGGTTGGCCCTGCGTATTGACTCGTCGAAACCACCGGCGAGCAAGCCTCGGCGCTGACAAACTCGTAGGAGTACGCCTCCCCGATCTTGTAGCGCAGCGTGCCATCGACAGGTTCGATCGAGACCGTCTTGTTGCGGCCGTCGAGGCTCACGACGAGCCAATAGCTCGAACCTGCGTCAGGCAAGCGATCGAACTCGGCATAGATCGGAAACTTCACGCGGCACTTGTTCTCGACACAAATGGCCGTGTCACAATCTGCTGCGGTGTTGCATCCGGGCGTATCGAGCCCCGACGTCGCCACGCACGCATCACAAACACTGCCGCCGCAATCGACGCCGGTTTCGCCAGGGCTCTGAGAGCCGCTGTCACAATCGGGGTCGAGGTCTGCGCACAGGTTGCCCTCGCAGAAACCCGCCGCGCAGTCGCCGTCATTCAAGCAGGCCTTGCCCAGACCACAGGTCGCGCCGCAAGAGCCGCCGCAATCCTGATCCGTCTCGGAGCTGTCCTTCATCCCGTTGCTACAAATCGCAGCGTCAGCAGGATCGGTATCGAGCGTGACCCGATTCTCCATGCCGGGGTTCACCGTAGCGCGCGAATCCTCGCCATTGGAGGTGTAGTCGAACGAGTTCGTCTTCGAGTTGCCCTCGCCATCCTGAGTCGTCGAGGTGACGTTCACATCTGAGCCTTCGGGCAACCCGGAGACAGACACGCTGGTGGTGCCATCCTCGTTGTTGACAAGATCGACCGAGACGTCGCCGTTGGAGCCCTCGACCGTGACTGTCACAGTGGTGCGCGTTCCATCTCCATTGATACGCGTCGACGAGATGGTCACGCCCCCTTCATTGTTCTTGGAGGAGTATGAGACGTCGCCGTTCTCTCCAAACGTCGCGGCGTCACCGACCTTGGGGTTGTCCGCCTCGAGGTTGCTCGAGAAGCCCAACCCGTAGTTTTGCACCGAGGCCTTGTTGGTGTCACCCGAAGCGGTCGACCTTACGCCATCTGCAGCGGTCACGGCGATATTGCGCTTTGGCTTGAAGCCCTTGGCGAGCGTGGCCTGGTTGACGATCGCGACCGCCGTGCCGCAACGAGGACACCTCGAGAACGCCGGGCGAACCCAATCACCCTCGGCCTCGATCACCTCGCCGTCACGAATACCAGTCTCCTCGCCGTCCTCGTTCGAGGCCACGATGGAGACGCCTGAATAGGTCTGCGCCAGATACTCCGAGTCCTCGTCGAATGGCGCGGGCAAGGCGCCGAGACGATCCTCGATGGCGGCGAAGTAGAGGTAGTTCGGCTTCTCTTCGGTGCTCTCGTAGACGATCGGGGTCCCGTCGATTCCGGGGACCTCGTAGCGCCATGTGTTGGCCTTCGGGTGAACCTCGAGGACCTGCTCGCGCGAGGGGAAGTTGTTGTCATAGACACGCAGCCAGTAGGTATCCTCGCGCTCGTTATCCTTGAAATAACCGATAGGCGTGAGCGCGTGACCTCTGGCAAAGCCAACCTCTGTGCGTTGTGCGATGGCGAGGCGATAGTGCTTCTCGCTCTCCTCGGCGAGCGCCTCGGCGAGGAATGGCATCACATCCGCGGCGAGGTAGCGCACATCCGCCTTGGCGGCATCGGGCACCGCCTGAGTCGCCGCCCAGTAGGCGAACTCCTCCTGGAGCGCGATGTTCCCATCGAGCGTCAGGTCGGCGACGTTCTCGGCGCCGTAATCCTTTGGATCGAGCTGTCCTGAATGAAACATCAACGAGAGGACCGCGAAGCCCTCGCTTCGCCCCTGATCCAGGGTCTTATTCGTCCCACGCATCCAGAGGTTGGCGCGAGGTGTCAGGACGCAAGGATCTGAGCCCTCGACGCACACGGCCTCGGCGCCAAACATGCGCTGCATCACCTGTGGGTTGATTTGTGTGGCGACCCCGGCGCCTCCGAAGTTCTCGAAGGTGAAGGCTTCGGTGACAAAGTCAAAGCCGGAGTACACCTGCGGAGGAACCGCCTTTTGACCTGGAGGCGGGTCTGGGTCTGACCCACACGAAGAACATGAGGTCAGCAGTGACAGCGTCAACGCCATCAACGCTGGAGCGATACGCGCTCTGAGCATGAAAGCACTCCTTGGCTCCGCTTCTTGGTCGTGCCAACGAGTCATCCACAGACAAGCCCCCCCGTGCCTCTCTTGTGAGCGATTCGCGGGCCTGGCCAAGTCAGAGGATCACACCACACACACCGCTCGTGCTTCACGCACTGAGGCCTGCGGGGAAGATCATCTGAAACATTGTTTCGAACAGGAATTTTCTACCGACGATCCTACCTAACGAAACAGAATAACTCAAGACAATATACTCACGAGTGATACTCGATAACTCTGTGTTCCGAGTGTCAGCGCTCTGTTCGTAAGGTGTTCAAAGGTCGCATCGACACGGAATGGCTGCTATTATAGCCCTAAATGCTCCAACACGAGTTCTCCCGAGGTGCCCCCATGAAACCATCGCGCCAGCTCCTCTTGTTGATCCTGGTCACGTTCATCCTCCCCGCGTGCCTCACTGGCCCTGCCGGGAGCATCTTCGGGCGAGGAGGAGATGATGAGGATCAAGAGGAGCAGATCGGTGGGATGCAGGTCGCGCCTGATATGCCCGAAGCGCCAGACGCGAATCACATGTCTGGAGCCGATATGCCCGAGGATATGCCTGGCCCTACAGACATGCCTGCTCCTGTAGACATGCCCTCCCCCCCAGAGGATATGAAAACCTGCCAGGATCAATGCACGGCAGGCACCTTCGACTGCCAGGGACCACGACTTTACACCTGCGAGAACGATCCAGGGACGGGATGCCTCGGCTTTGTCGAGGTGGCGCAATGCGGGCAGGATCAGTTCTGTGACAGCAACGCCGGAGAATGCGCCTGTCAGGTGGACGAGATGTGCACGCCGAACGAGCGACGTTGCATGGGGAGGGACGCGGTCGAGGTCTGCACCAGGAGTGAATCAGGTTGCACGACCTGGGAGATCGAGCGCACCTGTGATGGCCGCAGCTATTGCGACAACAACCTGCAGAACTGCCGCTGCCCTGCGAGTGATTGCACGAGCGCGGGCAGCACGAGCTGCAACGGCCCATCGGTCGTCGTCTGCGCACAGGACCCGGCCTCGGGATGCATTTACCCGGACACCACGCAGTCGACGCGTTGCGGCGACACTGAATATTGTGAAAATGGAGCCTGCCAGACGTGCGAAGAGCAGTGCACACCTGGAACAACGGTGTGTGTAGCTCCCGGCGAGATCCGAAACTGCATCAAGACCTCGAGTGACAAATGCCCGAGGCTCTCCTCGCCGCTCTCTTGCGGCACCACCAACCAGTGCCTCGGCAGGCCGAGCTGCTCGCAGGATGGCGACTGCGCGACCTGCGGCACGAGGAACGGGCAGACCTGTTACTACTGCCCGCAGTGATGTTCAGATTTGATAATTGGGCGTGAAGTCTTCGCCGGCGAGCTCGGGCACCGCGTCCGCGATCTGCTGGATCGAATAACGCCCCAGGATGCGAATCGTCGCCTCGCGGATCTCGCCCCACACCGGGATAAACGCGGCCTGACGCTCGGTCTGGTCACCATCCGAGGTGCGGTCGGCATACGTCTGCGGCGCGATCGGGCCATCCAGGTGCCGGATGACATCGAGCAACATGATCTCGCTGGCTGGACGGCTTAAAAAGTAACCGCCGTTCGCGCCGCGCTTGCTGCGAACAAACCCACCACGCTTGAGATCGCCCATGATCCCCTCGAGGAACTTGTTGGGGAGACTCTCCTCGTCCGCGATCGCCTGAATACTCATCGGATCGCTGGTGCGCGCTCCGGCGAGCGTCACCAAAGCCCGCAGTCCATACATGGTGCGTGCGCTGATATCCATTTCGGTTCCTTTCCACTCACGTCGAAAACCCCAACACCTTCACACGAAGTCACCTCGCGAGCAACCAGCACGCCCCCCAAAACGCGCCTGCCTTCGCGCGGCGATGAGGACACCTTCGACCACCGTGCGTCAGCCAAGGAGTGACGGCGCGTTTTTGTCCCCCCGGCTGCGCCAAGGGGAAGACTCGCGCTTCGAAGCGAGGTTGGAGCTTCGCGTCAAGCACGCTCGTGCAACGCGCTGTATGTCTTAAAGCGACAGCGAGGACTACCGTGGCAACTCAATCCTGGTCGCACAGGTCTCCGACCCCGTCCTTATCCTCGTCGGCCTGACCGGGGTTAAAGAAGTTGGGGCAGTTGTCGCAACGGTTGGCGATGCCATCGACGTCCGAGTCTGGCCCGGTGCAAGAGGTCGAGCAGGCGTCACCGATGCCGTCGCCATCCGCGTCTGCCTGGTCAGTGTTGGCGATGGTCGGGCAGTTATCGCACGAGTTGCCGATGCCATCGTTGTCGTTGTCCTCTTGCTGGTCATTGGGGCGCTGCGCGCAGTTGTCACACGCGTTGCCGATGCCGTCGCCATCCTGGTCGGTCTGGTCCTCGTTGGCGAGCCCGGGGCAGTTATCACACTGGTCCCCTACCCCGTCGCCGTCGCCATCCGTTTGTTCGCGATTGGGGATGTCAGGGCACACATCGCAGGCATCGCCGATGGTGTCACCGTCGGCGTCACGCTGTGCTGGATCGGCATCCTCGGGGCAGATATCACACACATCACCGACACCATCTTCGTCGGTGTCGAGTTGATCCTCGTTGGCGGTGCCGAGGCAGTTATCACAGACATCACCCGCGCCATCACCATCCCCATCACGTTGCTCGATATTTGGCACCAACGGGCAGTTATCGACGCTGTTGTCCTTGGAGTCGCCGTCGATATCCTGGTCACAGGCATCGCCGAAGTCGTCATCGTCGAGGTTGGACTGATCGGTGTTGCGCACGTCGGGGCAGTTGTCGCACACGTCCCCCACGTCATCGAGGTCGACGTCTTCCTGATCGGGGTTTGGCGAGAAGAAGCAGTTGTCACACGCGTCGCCGAAGCCATCCTCGTCGATGTCCTCTTGCAGTGGATCGAGCGCGGTGGGACAGATATCACACACATCGCCGATGCGGTCGCCGTCGCCATCTGCCTGATCCGCGTTGGAGATCATCGCGCAGTTATCACACGCGTCACCGACGGTGTCTCCGTCGCCGTCCGCCTGATCCGGGTTATTGGCCAGCGGGCAGTTGTCATCGACATCCTCGACGCCGTCATCATCCGAGTCAGGATCGCAGGCGTCGCCCAGGCCGTCGCCGTCAACATCGGACTGGCCAGGGTTCGAGAGCCCGAGGCAGTTGTCACAGACATCGCCCGCGTTGTCGCCATCCTCGTCCGCCTGGTCGAGGTTGACGATCATGGGGCAGTTGTCGCAAGCGTCCCCCAAACCATCGAGGTCGGAGTCCACCTGATCCTTGTTGGAGACGGTGGGGCAATTGTCACGCGCGTCGCCGATCTCGTCGCCGTCAAAGTCAGCGCCCTTGCAACCAGTGGCGCCGAGCGTGGCCACCAGCGCAGAAATGACCAGCGCCCCCACGGTCCATCTCAGGGGCAATTGGCGCGTGATTCTGTTCCACATCCTGTGTTTCATCGCATCCTCGCCAGCGCCCAATCCATCGAGCGCTGCTTGCGCTTCAGATCTCGAAGAGGGGCTGAAGCAGGTGAAAAATACCTGGTTTATCGATCTGACCGCCGTTGGCGTAGCGCGCTTTCTCGATCTCGATCTCGATGGAGCCTTCGCGCTCGTCGAAGTCATTGCGGTAGCGCTGGATCACGCTCGGCTTGAACGGATCGAGCGCGACCCAGAGCAGGATCTCATCCTCCTGCTCATCGAACGCGATCTCAAGCGAGCGCTTGTGCGCCTTGATGGATGCGCCCGGCGTGAAGGTCATCCAAATGCCGTCCTCGTCCGCGCCAGCCTCGCGGTAGGTGAACCCGAACTGTGTCTGGATCGCCTCGACAACCGTCGAGATGATCGGGGACATCTTGATCTGGAGGAGTTGCTCCTTGGTGATCGGGTTGGAGCCTTGCAAGGTCGCCACGGCGCGGAGCTTCCATCCGAAGTTCCCGAGGCTCGGCGCGACCTGCGGAGGAATCTCCATATAAAAAGGCCACTCGTGCTTCTCGCCAGCCTGCAAGGAGATGCGCTCGGCGAGCACGAGGCCGTCGAAGACCTCCTGCATCTTCACGCCGTAATCATCGGGGAAGGTGTGGAGGAGCTCGAGGTTGACGGAGAAGACATTGAGCTCCTTCTGCGCGTGCAACACGAGCTGCCCCTGGACCGTACCGCCCACGTGGCATCCTTCAGGTTGAACGCGGAGTTCGAACTCTCCCGTCGCCATCCCCAACGTCTTCTTGATCGAATCGAGCAGCCCCATCGCCTCGTACCTCCATATCACAAAGGCTCGTGTCGCATCTTACCGAGACAGACTTATAGCCCAAGTCACGCACAGTTCAAGCAGACTCGACCTCTGGCTCATCTTCAAAGCGCGCTCCGACAAAGCTCAGGGCGACCACCAGGACAAAGCCGACCACCGCAGCGATGGCAGCGCCTGTCACGCCAGCATCTCCTGCGGGGAGGATGTTCACCAGCGCGCCGTCAACGACCTGCTGGAAGGGCCAGATCCCGCGCAGACAGCCGAGCATCAGCCCGACCAACACCCCCAACGTAGGCGCCGCGTAGCGATCGAGCAAAAAACTCAACACCCGCGCGAAGCTCAGGATCCCCGCGACGAGCGCCACGCCGAACACCCCGAGGTAGAGGATGTGGTTGAACGGCACGGTGCCAGAAGCGAGCAGCGAGAGCATCCCCTTGAGCGCGTTCAGGATAAAGAAGTACACCCCGAAGATAAGAAGAATATAAGAGCCCGAGATCCCAGGCAAAATCATCGCACAAATCGCCACCGCGCCCGCGATCCCGATAAACCAGAGCGCGGGTCTTGGCAGGTTGACGCTCGTCCCTTTCGGCACCATCACCGCCTCGTAGGGGACGCTCCTTGCCTTGAGCGCCTTCTTGTCGAGCTGCTCCTTGCCGGCGGCTTCGCGCAGCGCGGCGAGCTCGCTGGCGACCTCGGGCGTCTCCCTGGCGACCGCTTCGCGCAGCGCCGCGTTATCACTGGCCCAATAGATCTGCTCGAGCGTCGCGGAGGTTGGCCCTCGCCGCGCGATATCCTTGATCGTCTCACCCGTCGAGGTCAGCGCCACGGTGTCTCTGGCGCCAGAGTAACCATTGGCGGGGTTGGTCACCCAGAAGCCAAAGGCGGCGCCGACGACCGCGAGCAATGCGGCCACGCCGATCATCGCGCCAGAATTGCTCGCGCGCTGGATCATCTTCGAGGGGACGTACACGCTGGCGAGGATCAACCCGAAGAAGAACGCCCGCGTGGGCACGGGGTGATTCTCGATCAGGAACGGGATAAAGGTCGAGCCGATGAGCACGGCGGTGAAGATGCCGCCGACGAGCGTGATGAGGAAGACGAGGTTGAGGTCGAGGAGCTCCTGTTTGAGCTGCTCGAGATCCTCGGGCTTTCTCCCGCCGGAGAGCCAGCGCCAGGCCGTGAGCAGCACGCGCGGGTGGAGCCCGCGCAGTGTGTCGACGAACTCTTTATAGACGCCCAGCACGAGCGCCAGCGTGCCGCCGCTCACCCCCGGGATCACATCCGCGATCCCCATACACATCCCCTTGAGGAAGAGGAGGATTCTCTCTCGCATCACCGCTCCATGGTCTTTTAATCAGTGCACGATGGCGACGCGAACCGCGCTCGCCACCAGCGATCGGTCGGGAGTCTAGCAGCAGCCCGGCGATGGTTCATGATAAATCTGGTCAGAGCTCTCGGCGCGCTTTTATCTGTTGACTTGTCAGCAAGATGCGAGCGAGGTTGGCGCCGCACGAGTTCAGCCTGTTCGCAAGGAAAAGCAAGGAGCCACGCCTTAAATGACTTCCAACAGCAACGACCCCAAACACACAGGGCCGATCAAGGCCACGCCGTTGCTCGAGTCCCTCTTCGGGCTCGATGGCGGCGCCATGTTCGGCATCATCCCCAGGCCCCTGTGGGAGAAGACCAATCCCCCCGATGAGAATAACCGCATCGCGATGGCGGCGCGCTGCCTCTTGCTCGAATGGGCCGACGGCACGCGCGCGCTGGTGGATGTGGGGATGGGCGAGCGCTGGAGCGAGAAGGAGCGCGGCATTTACGCGATCCGGGAGCAGGATGGAGGATTGCGCGAGGCGCTAAAAGAGCGCGCCATCGATCCGACCTCGATCGATCACGTGCTCCTGACGCACCTGCACTTCGACCACGCGGGCGGCCTGAAGAAGACCGACGGGAGCGCCGCCTTCGCGGGCGCGACGCACTGGGTTCAGCAGCGCAACTGGGCGTGGGCGCATGGCCCCTCGGCCAGAGATGGTGGGAGCTATCGCCCGGAGGACTGGGCGTTTCTGGGCGAGGATGGCGCGCCGACGCTCGAGCTTGTCGATGGCATCAGCGAGATTTTGCCTGGCGTCGAGGTCTTGCCACAGCATGGGCACACCTTCGGGATGCAGGTCGTCAAGGTTCGCCTGCCACATGCGACGCTGGCGTTTGTCGCTGATCTTATCCCGACCTCTTCTCACCTTCGCGACCCGTACGTGATGGGTTATGATTTGCAACCACTGGTGACGGTGCAGGAGAAGCGCGCGTTGCTTTACGAAGCCGCGCGTCATGATTGGGTGCTCTGTTTCGAGCACGATCCTGTATGTGATCTGGCGCGCGTCGAACTCGACAAACGAGGAAGACCGCGTCCCGTCCCAGTCACCCTCGAACAACTCCACGGAGCTTGAAGACGTGTCACCGGTCGCGCTGCTTATTTTTTATGTGTTGTTGGCCCTGGGGGTCTCCTTCCTCTGCTCGGTCCTGGAGGCCGTGCTGCTTTCGATCACGCCTTCCTATATCGCCACGCTGGAGGGCTCGGGCAATCCGGCAGGCGCCAAGCTGCGAGGGTTCAAGGATGATATCGATCGCCCGCTGGCCGCCATCCTGAGCCTGAACACTGTCGCGCACACGGTGGGCGCATCGGGCGCTGGCGCCAAGGCGCTCGAGGTCTTTGGGGACGCGTATGTCGCGGCGGCATCTGCCGTCTTGACGCTGCTCATTTTGATCTTCTCCGAGATCATCCCCAAGACGCTCGGCGCGCGATACTGGAAGGTGCTCGCGCCTTACGCCGCGCGCGTGCTCAAGTGGCTCATCTACGTCACGCTCCCGCTGGTGTGGCTCTCGCAAGGAATCACTCGCCTCATGGGCGGAAGCCCCCACGGTGAGCCCGCGATCTCGCGCGAGGAGTTCGAGATCCTGGCCGATATCGGCTCCAAGGATGGCATCCTCGATGAAGAGGAGTCGAGAATCCTGGCGAACCTGTTTCGCCTCAACGCCCTGAGAGCGCGCGATGTGATGACACCGCGCACGGTGATTCTGGCGTTCGACGAGGATATGACCGTCGCCGAGGCGATGGACGACGAGCAGACGATGCGCTTCTCGCGTATCCCGATCTACAACAAGAATGTCGATGGCATCACGGGCTACGTGCTCAAGCAGGAGATCCTGCTCTCCTCGGCGAGGGATATGCATGACAAGAGGCTCGACGATCTTCGCCGAGACCTGTTGATTATCCCCGTGCACACCAAGCTGCATCGCGCGCTCGACATGATGCTCGAGCGTCAGGAGCATATCGCGCTCCTGATCGACGAATACGGCGGCACCGTGGGCATCCTCACCATGGAGGATCTCGTCGAGACGCTGCTCGGGCTCGAGATCGTCGACGAGTTGGACGCCACCGTCGATATGCAAGGGCTCGCCAGAAAGGAGTGGGAGAAGCGCGCAGCGCGCCTCGGACTCACCGGCAAGGAGTGAGCGCTCGCGCCCACCCTCGAAGGTGGGCGCACCTACCTGAAGTGACGATTCTGTGCCATCGAGGGGATTGCGGTTGACTCCCGAGTCAACTTGCTCATATTGGATTGTCGAGTGATTCGGTAAGGATTAAACATGCAATCCTGACCAAAACAATCAAGAATAAGAATGAAACTCTCCAACCGCGCCATATACGGTATCCGCGCGCTCTTTGACCTCGCCTACCACGGCGGACAGGGACCGGTGCAGATCCGAGAAATCGCCGAGCGCGAGGACATCCCGCTGCGCTTCCTCGAGCAGATCTTCCAGGATCTTCGGCGCGCGGAGTTGGTCGAGAGCAAGCGCGGCCCCAAGGGGGGCTTCCTGCTCTCGCGCGAACCCAAGGACATCACGCTGGCGCAGGCGCTCGAAGCGCTCGAAGACGCGCCGCAGTTCTACTCTCCGGGTGAAGAGGCGGTTTCGCCTTCATCCGCCGCCCAGAGTGACAGGGGCGCGCCAGCGTCCTGGCTTGTCCCCGACGCGGTTTGCGCGCAAGCCTTCGCCGAGATCTCACGCATGTTCAAGGGGATCACGCTCGCTGATATCATGGAACGTGGGGAGGAACTTGGCCTCCAGCGCGATTGCTACGAGAGCTTTACTTATGTCATCTGAGCAGACACGTAGCCAACCCGCGCCCTCGACCACGCTGGCGAGCGGACCTCGCGTCAGCCGCGTCAGCGAGTTGATCGGAAACACACCGCTTATCAAGCTGCGAAAGCTTGGCAAGGAGGGGGGCGCCCCGATTTACGTCAAGCTCGAGAACCTCAACCCCTCGGGCTCCATCCGCGACCGCTACATCGCCGAGATCCTGCAACGCAGCGTCGAGGCGGGGCAGACGATGTCGGGCGACTCGATCGCGCTGGCGGGGATGAACGACTCGGCGGTCTCGGCATCCCTGATCGGGCATCAACTCGGGCTCATCGTGCACGTCTTCGCGCCAAAGGACGCCTCGCGAAGGCTCGCTCACCTGGTCCTCAAGCTCGGCGCCAAGATCACCTGGACGGACGCAGAAGGTGGCCTCGATGGCGCCATCGAGGCGGCCGCAGCCTGGGCGAGGGAAGCGCCTGACAGGTTGTACGTGGACGCGTTTCGCCGCCAGGCGATCAAGGATGCCTACCAGGGAATCTCCGATGAGATGTTGCTCGCGTTGCGAGGACAACAGCTCGGCGCGTTCGTCACCTCCATCTCGACCGGGGGCACGTTCCGAGAGGTCGCGCCCTACCTGCGGCGCTCCTTCCCGATGCTTCGCATGGGAGGCGCCGTGCTCATCGATGTCGAAACAAAGGCGCTCGCGGCGAACCCCAACAACATCATCGAGCATATCTCTCTGGAGCGAGCATGGGAGGTGCGCGACCAGGTCGCGCGAACTCAGGGGCTCCTGCTTGGCCCGAAGGGCTCGGCATGCGTCGCGCTCGCCATGGACATCCAGGAGCAAATCCCTGGAGATCAGGTCATCGTCGCGCTCAACCCGGACGCCGGGCAGCGCTACCTCGGATGGGAAGACAAGCCGCTTTTCAAAGACACCTACATCGAGGGTTGTCCCTCCAAACAATAAGACAGTTCCTCACGAGTGACCTCGCGTCCACGAGGACAAAGGTCGCTCGAAACACTGGAAAAACCACGCCCGCACCTGCACACTTACAGGAACCGCAGGTCGGCGTTTTGCCTTTAATGAGAAAGGAGCCATCATGTCAGTCCAAGTTCGCATCCCGACGCCGTTGCGCAAGTTCACAAACAGCCTCGAATCCGTCGCCGTCGAAGGCACCACCGTCGGAGAGGCGCTCCAGAACCTCGCCGAGAATCACCCCGGCATCAAACAGCGCCTGTTCACT